GCAGAGCTCCTGGCTGTGCTGGCTGTGGCCCAAGTGAGCTGGGACCGGTGTCTCCTGCCCCTGGGAGACAGTGCAGTGGGGCAGGAAAAGGCTCCTGGTCACTATAGGGAGGCAGCATCACAACTGGTTGGGATTGCAAAGCATTTGGGGAAGATGCCAGTCTTGCCATTGCAGCATCCTTCGAGCCAGTCCTCATTCACTGGGAGAACATAAAGGAGCAGGATGAGCCCTGGCCCATGTGAGTGGGGTTAGTGAGAGTTTTCATGGCTGGAATTTTGGGCAAAACCCAGTGTAAACCTCTACAGGATCCCAGAATGGCCTCAACTGGAAAAGACCTTTAAGGTAATCAAGTCCAATCATGAACCCAACACTGACCAGTCCCCTATGACTAACCCATGTCCCTCAGCACTGTGTCTACACGACTCTTCAATCCCTCCAGGGATGGGGACTCCACCACTGCCCTGGGCAACCCCTTCCAATGCCTCAGAACCCTTTCAGCAAAGAAATTCTTCCTCACATCCCATCTCAACTGCCCTTGGGGCAACTTGAGCCCATTTCCTCTTGTCCTGTCACTTGTTCCTGGGTTGAACAGACCCACCCCCACCTCTCTCCACCCTCCTTTCAGGGACTTGGACAGAGCCAGAAGGTCTCCCCTCAGCCTCCTTTTCTGTCTCCTGAGGGTATGAGCCTGAGACAGCCCTGCAGAGGCATCTATTCCCCAGTCCCTCCCTGCAGCAGACTCCAAAAGCCTGGCCCAGTACAAGGCTGCAGACAGGACTGGAGAGTTACCTTCAGAGAGAATATCCAGCACATCTCCCTTGCTGAAGTCCAGGTCCCCTGGTCCCTGTGCGAGGTACGAGTGCTGAGCCAGCATCCGGTAGAGGATGGGTCTGCCCGAGTGGGAGTCCGTGTCCTGCAGGAGAAAGTCAGCACGGAGGTTGCAAGGCAAAGCAGAGATCTGAGTCCAGCACAGCAGAGAAGCTTGTCACAGCCCACGTACCTGGCAGCAGAGAGTCAGTCTGCCATCTGTCAGCTGCTGCCACATCTTCCCCAGATCCTCCTCTCCTGAAACTGCACCCAGTTCTTTGCCATCTGAATGTCTGTAGCTGCAAGGATTCATCAACACAGCTCAAATCATCCCACTTAGAGCCAAACTTGGAGGCAAGCCTATCCCTCTACCATCTTCAGCCTTCAAAGTCCCCTCTGTGAGCCAGCTCTGAGCTTGTCATCTTGCACAATGACATAGGGCCACCCTGCATGTTCAGTGAGCAAAAATGGCACTGTTGGGGGGTGACACTGTCACGTCCTCACATACTCACTTGAGGGGAAGATCCTAAACTCTCCTGACTGCGTCCTCAGGGATGTCACAGTCAGGGAGACCTCACCCCAGGACCATCTCCCACATTGCTCTGCATTGATCCTAGTGCATCTCAAAGGCTGAGCTGAGCAGGAGAAAATCCAACACACAGCAGCTGCATCTGGACAGAGTTTTTTTCCTTCTCCAACCCAAAAGGAGAGCCCTGCAAGAAGGCTGAATCTTTGCTGAATCTCTGCTAGAGGGCTTTGACCCCAATTAAATGTTCCCAGCAGAGAAGAGGCAGGTCTGTATCCTCAGGGAAATGGTTGCTGCCAGCCTGTCACACACACTCATGCAGTGAGAGTGCCCGAGGGCCCGGCTGTACCTCAGCTTCCCTCGCTCTGCCTGCTGCCCAAAGTGCTCCCGCAGCAGAGCCCGCAGGTCCGGCAGAGATGGCACCTCGCCTGCCCTCACCACCACGGTGCACTCACAACGAGCCCTCAGCACCACCGGTCTGTCCGTGCTGGATGAAGCTTCCCCTTGGGTGGGTGGGATCTGCTGAGAGATGCAGCACCATGGACAGTCTGGTTATTCAGGACTCTGGTACCAAGGTGACACAGACACAACCCCTCAGCTCCGTGCTACCACGTGATGGCAAGAGCAGCATCAAAATGCAAATCTGAATCTCAAAGGGGAAACTACAAATTCAGAGTCTGGGATCAAATGTTCCTTCCATGACCCAGGAAGCCCCTTTCTGTGTCTGATCACACAGGTACCTCCCAACTCCAAACCTATATGAGCAGGGCCCCAATTCCTCCAGCCAGCTGGAGAGGTGCAGCCAAGTTCCCACGTTCTGCTGCCTCCTGTCTGAAGTACAACTGACAAAAAATTACTCCAAAAGCCCTACAAAGAGGGGTGGCAAAGTCAAAGGGAGCACAGCTGATCTGCAGCTGGCACTGCCAGAGAGATGCTGTCCTCAAGTGGACACGAGAGCAATTCCAGCTCCATCACACAGAGTGGCTGGTAATGACGGGGAGGTGCATCAGAGGACATCATCCCACAAGAACACAGATATGAATGAGCTGTGGTACTCAGACTGACAGGGGCAGGAAATGCCACACAGAAGCAGGGGAGAAGGGACAGCAGGTAGTCCAAGGACAGCTGGCTCTTGCAAAATGGGCTGAAAAACTGTGTGTAAATTGTGTGCCTGAGAACACTGCTGTGGCTGGGGCTCTTTGCTCTGCAGAGGGTGGCAGTGCCTCAGCATTGGGCTGCCTCACAAAGCTGTATGGGCACAGACTTGGGAGTGGTGGAGGAAAGATCACATGGGAGCCTCTCCTCAGAATGGGAAAATTGGGAGAGGAAGAGTTTTTTTCCAGTGATTTTAGGGCAGCTCAGGAATTTTGGAAGATCAGCCCAAAAAGAAATCTTGGACTTTTCACAGCCTCTTGAGGGCTGTAGCAGCTTCAGCTTGTGAAACACCTTACCTTCAAATCCAGATGGGCACCAGCATCATTTGCAGCAGCATTTTCTCCCCCAGGAGATCCTGCAGAAGAAAACAAGGGCAGAGGAACAGTGCCTGTAGTCAGCAGAGGCCTCCAGCAGCTCTTCTACCCATGGCTGCAGTGGGCAACCAGCATCCCCACACAATCCTAGAGCAGGGGGCCTTGGACACAGCTTCACCTGACAGCCACTGAGCTCCCTGGCCCTGGGGACTACCTGGCTTCTGCTTCACGTGCAGTCGGCTGGGAGGCACCTGGGCAGGAGGGAGAGGAATCCCATTGCTGATCTTCTGCAAAAGAACAACATCAGAAAGGAGTGAGCAGAAGACACCAGAGACTGGGCAAAGCTGGTGTGCATAAGAAAGGCTGCAGCCAGTGATAAATTTCTGGGTGGAAACCCAGAGAGATCCCCAGGGAGACCAGTTCATTAACTGGCTGGATGAGGCAGAGCACTCAGGCTCTTAATGGCCTCTGCAGCTCTTGTGGGTAGCGTGGATGATAAGAGATTTGGTGGGACACTTCCTTGGCCTCCTGCCCCTTGCTGGGTTGGTGCTGGAGCAGAGGGAGGTTGCTCACGCTGTGCTGAGGGCTTCCCCCACCATCTGTCAGCTCACCTGGGCTCGTTCACAGTGAGACATCCATGGAACAAATATGTGCTATGGCCAAGGAATCATTGGGAGGGGAGAAAAATAATCATAGCAACATCAGAACAATCGTGAGCTTCAAAAATCTCTCACAGGAAATAGGGGTCTGAGTTGCACCTTTCCATACTGGGTTCAGATGGAAAACGACTGGGATCATGTGTGGATATGCCTGTGGTGGAGATGGGAGACAAAGGAAGTCTTCTTAAGTCAAAGGTGAGGGTTTAGGGCTCAGGCACATGGCCTCAAGGCAAAAAGTGGTGCCTGTTGAAGGCATTACTGTTCCACTGCAGGAGATGAACCTGCTCCCATTCTACTGGTGAATTAGAACACGTGAGCACACCTCACCTGCTTCCCTGCCACATCTAGCCATCATGGGAGCAGGCTGGATGAATGTGTGCCTCAAGCCCTCGACCTCATCATCGTGTTTCAGTGCCCCAACAAGTTACAGTGAGTCAGGAGAGCTGTGGCAGCTGCTCACTTTGTGTGTTCCATCAGCCCACGGTGGATAGAGATAGCAATACCTAGATCAGCTTGTGATGCAAGCCACTGTGGCTTGGCCATATGTCCAAGAGATCTGATGCATATAAAAAAATTATGCATTTTTCCTGCTCTTAACTATTCTGTTGTTTCTTCAAGAGCACTTGGTCTTCAGTCAAGGTGTCTCAGTGTTTCACACTCCGTGTTTCTCTTGCACAGTTGTCCTGTCCTGTGATAATCTTACAAATAAATGTCCCAAATGTATCTCTTGGTTCCTTCCTCACCCCTGGTTGCAAGGTTGTCAGCTCACCCATTTATCCATCTTGGAGGCAGGTTCCAGGAGAGAGCTTGGTACACGCAGCTTCTGTGGGACACAAAGCAGAGCAGGGTGAGACACGAGCTGCTGCTGTGGCAAAGGCAGCCCCAGCCCACCCAGCCCCATCTTCTGTTAGCCCCACTCTGCACTGCTTCTGTCCCTGCAAAACACCACTGCCTGCTCAGCCCACTGCAACACACAAGTGCCCATGGGGAGCCCAGGGTCACATATGGTAGCCCACGTGGCTTCTTGCTCAGAAATTGCTGAACAAAACCCAGTGGTGGTCCTTTTGCATCCTTTTCTGCTGGAAGCAGTGCTGCTGATTGAGTGGCTGCCATGTCACAGACCAAACACCCATCGAGCCCAACACCCTGCTCCTAAAACGGATGCTTAGGAAGAGAGCAGCAAGGATGGTGAGGGATATACCAGTCCAGCAGCATTTCTGTCTCTTCTTTCAATCATTGCTATACAGTGATTAATTTCAATTGAGCATTATGAGTAATTACACTTCCCCCCCGCCTCCAGTGTCTATTATTTTACTTTTTTTTAATTTTGAATTTCATCTGCTACTTCACTGAGCAGTCAAACAGCACATTCAAATATTTCTGTCATGGTGCACTGTGAGCTCCAAGTGCTTCAGGCTATGCTGATTGCCTGTCATGGAACATGGTCACCTTAAGAAGCACTAGATCACTATCTCTATTAATATATCACTTGGGAATATGGTAAATACTGAAGTCATAGCAGATTCTCTGTG